AACTATTGGTCTCTAGCCTACATTGAAATCATAAAGAAAATGATGCTAGTATGAGCAATTTCCCAACCTTCTACAACTTCTTGTATTTTAATTATCATAGTCATCTGGTGGTTGATTGTTTTCCTTAATCAGTTTTAGTTCATTAAATATTTTATGTATATATTTACTTTCTATTCTTTTCTTTACTTCTATTATCTAATGCACACATCTATGTTAGTTCATTTATTTCCTGATCATGTGAACTAGTTTGGTGTATATTTCACATTTGTTAATAAGCTCTTGTCTGGTGTTTTCATCTATAAAGAGTAAGAATCCCCAGGAAAAAAAATAAGGTTACTTCTATTAATACCAAAACACACTGAGAAGATGAACATAAAATTAGCTTTAAGTTTAAATTATCAGTTTGAGGAATTCTAAGGAGGCCTCAACTCCACACAAAGATCTATAGGAAACTAAGGTATGCAAAGACTTGTAGATATAGTCTTCCCCAGAGAGGAATACAATTGTTGGTTATCTAATATCAAATGATCAGCCCTAAATACATACATATAAATAAAATACTGACTGAGCAAGGCATATTTAGGAATATTTGGATAGATAGATAGATAGGTGATAGAGATAGGCACATAAAAACAATTAGTGAAAAAAGAGGGTATGAATTTGAAAGAGAACAAAGAGTGTTATCTGTGTGGGTGTGAAGAGAGGAAGGAAATGAGAAAATGGGTTAAATTAAATTTCAAAAATTTTAAATTAAAAAATCAAAGTCTTACATATAAATGAGGCAGGCCTAAGCTTATGCCCAGAAAATATGATTTTTCCACCCGTAACTATACCTAGCCCAGATGTGCTTCTCTATAATTCTTCATATTTGTGCAGTTTAAAATGACAATGACAGAGTTCACAGTTGCATCTTGTATATATTGCAAGCCTGATATAGAGTTCTTAGGTTTAGCAACAGGCCATGGAAAGAACTAAAAGATTTTGTTACAAATCTACCCAGGACTCAAGGATTCTGACAGTTGTATTTGCCTTCATGGATTCTACCTCCTTTTTGTCTTCAGCCCAAGATAGTAATGGATTGTGTGTGTGTGTGTGTGTGTGTGTGTGTGTGTGTGTGTGTGTGTGTTTCCTGATTAGAATATTGGGTACCATAAATTAAGCTTGGACTTTATACCTAGGAAATAAACGTATTGACTATTACTTAGTCCTACTTCATTGCTATACTTAATTCTTGCATGTATTACTTATTTCAGAGTGAGTTTGTGTATTTTCAGTGAGAATTAAGTAAAACTTTCAGCCACTGAACTCGCATCATTTTATCAATGGTCTCTGTTGTTTTTACTATATTGCTGTTGATACTTCATTCTTTGATACATAAAAACTCATCTGTTGTTTATTCACTGTGAATTTTATCCTCACCCACTGGTATTATCTGGATGTTTGTGTTCACTCCATAATTCTTCGACTGGCATCCTAATAGTCCTAGGAGATATGGCCTTTGGGAAGTAATTAGATCATGAGGGCAGGGCCCAAATAAATGGGATTAGTGTCTTTAGAAAAGAGGCCCAAGGGAGCTTGTTATCTCTTTCCACCAGAGAGAAAGTGTCATCCATGACTCAAGACACCCACCCACCCTTACCACATAATGACTTTGAAACTTGATCTTGGATTCCAGCCTCTAAAACCACAGTGGATTTCTATTTTGTTAAACTATTCAGTCTAGTGTATTTTGTTACAGCAACCAAAACAAACTGTGGTGTGGTTAATGTTGTTTTCCTTTGAATTTGCCTCGTCTGTTGCAAAGACTGTGGCTACTGATTATTTTTAGCATTTGTCTATATATTTTCCATTCATTTTTAAAACTCAAAGTCAGTTTGTCTTAGATCACTCTCTGGCATGTAGCATATGAATATACATTGATAATAATCCAAGTGGAAGTATTAGTGAATGAGGAAGACTCATTAAAACAAGTGTTTTACCTTAGCTCTGTTGTGTTTCCATGCATCAAAACATAAAATGTATACAAATCTCTTCATTCATTCTTTGGTTTATGGATGTATTGATTTGTAGGATGTATTGTGTAGCTTTCTTAGGGTATATATCTTTGAAATTATAGATGGAATTAAGATGACTGCAAAAATATGTTTTACCACCATCAGCTATCCCTGTGCATCTCATTCATGTATAGGTATATTATATTATATTATATTATGACAAGGTGAGATGGACTGATGTACGTTTCTGAGATATAAACATCTTCATTGAAAACATGACTTCTTTTGATAAAAATGTGATTATTTTTAAAAAGGAAAAGAGAATGCTATGTGAGTCTGTTGGAAACTACTTATGCATCATGTGACATTTAATACATAAAGTATAATTTAAAATAGAATTAGGTATACTAAATCAGAGACTCAATCAAAATTAAAATCAAATCAATATACATAAAGTTGATATCAGTTGACTTTGATATGTTGCACTGGGAACTTTTTATCTAGAAATTCCTAACAGAACCCACAATTCTTCTTTAACCATGGCAGACATATTAGAAAATTTGAACTGAGGCACAAAATAATTGACCAAAGCCTCTCCAAATTATTCAAAACACAGGATTCTAAAACACAGCAACAGCAAAAACTGTAACTGCCAAGATAAGCCAAGGAGATATGTTGCATGGAGTTCTGACAAAAGAAAAAAATAAAGGGCATTAGAAAAAAAGAAAAACATAATACATAATTTAATTAATAATAATGTCTATGAAAGGACATGGGGGATAATAGAGCAAGAAGGATTGAGCATGGGTGATGCAAGTGCAGGTACAGGTAGAAGAATATCTATCACCAAAGACCATTGAAAGTACTGTGGGCTATATGTGGGTCTCTGTTTCTTGTGCCTCATTTTGAGCTCCTTTCTTCTGTTTCTTTTGTTCAAGTCCAATGTGTTAGCCGTTGTATTTTCTTATTATATTTTATTTTATTATTTAAATGTGTATGTAGAAACTAACACTGTGGAAACCTTCTAAAATACACACATAGAAAGAGTTTAAATGAAGTTACCCACTACCAGGGGGGAAATACCTCTCTTGGACACCATAGGCTAGCAAATGAAGAGTCTAATGTCAGGAATTGCTTCCTTCTTTTGGAAATCTTGGTCAGTGGTGTCCCATATAATCCATGGTTCTTGGTCCTCTCCAGAACTTAATAGTAAGACACCACACACTTGAGTTGTAAACATGGAGAAATCTATCAGCCTGGGGGCTTCATTACTCGTGGGTAGTTTCGTAGTGCTGCAAGGTTCTATGCATGATATTGAAGGAGAAAAGCAGTCACTAGTCTTGCCCAGGTGTGAAGCCTGTGCTACAATAATGACTAGCCTTACAAGATGTGCCCATTGCTGGAATGGTGGTATTAGTGTTGTGGAAATAATCAATTACTTCCTGTCTTCTACAGAAGACAGAATTCATGGCTTACACTATTAACTTGGTCAAGATTCTGTGGCTGAGTAAGTCTTAAAGCCCAAGGGAGAACTGCCTACTATTATTCTGCTAAAGGGATATAGTATTTAACTAACTCATAATGATTTATTGTTATACTCAGTTTAGCAGATCTTTCACCCCTTATCAGATAATCTCCTTTTTACAAAACATGACAGTTAACAGAAACCTATAGCTAGTCAATAAACATAGGATAAGAAAGAGTTGAGTAATTAGCTGTAGGTGGGACATCCATATTATACCTCTTCCTCTTAAGGTTTAGGAATCATAGAGGGAGCATAATTATGACAAAAGTCAGAAGCAATGTATCACTGCAACAAAACTGTTTTCTGAATACAACAGGACAGTTATACATTCATACATATATATATATATGTATGAATACATATATATATATATATATATATAAAACTTCACCTTGGTTGGGAACACATGAATATGACTTAATGAAGATCAAGTCATACAAAAATCTTGCAAGCAGTAAAAAAGTGATCATAAGTACCCATACCACTAAATAAATATTAGCAATTGATGATTGCCAGGGGTAGGAAGAATCATTTTTATCCAAGTATGTAGCCCTTTAAATGGCTACCCAAATCTAGTAGAGGGTGCTTACACATACTGGCAGCACTAATTGGAATCAATAGGATTTTTGCATGTTTCTTTTTGATATTAGAGTCTAATCACGTCATTTCTCCCTTCTGTTTTCTCCAAAACTTCCATAAATGCTTCACTGATCTCCTTCGTATTTGTGTTTCCTTTTTCATTAATTGTTATTGCATGCATATATGTATGTATATATATATATATATATATATATATTCCTAAATATAAGCAGTTTGTGTGTTTTCAGGGTTGACCATTTGGTATTGTGTCTTTTTTCATTGAGAAGACTATGTCCAACAGCTCTCTAATAGAATTTAAGATCTACTCAGCAAGAGAGAATTTTTTCCGGGTATTGGAGACTTAGTCAACTACTTAGTGCTAACGAAGTTATGAATCATGTAGGAGAGCCTATAAACACCCCTTTCCTAAAGCAACATAAATTCAATGTGATTTTTTAAAATGTGTTTTAATTGAAATAGAATTATATTACTTTTCCCTATCTCTTTCCTCCATCAAACCCATCTCATACTGCCTTTCAAGTTGATAAACTCTTTTTCTTTATTGTTGACATAAACATTGCACAAATATATGCATACAGACTGCTGTGTCTGTTTGGTTGGTGGTGTGTACATTGTTCAGGGATGACCACTCTGCAATGAACAATCATTAAGGCAGCTTATCCCCGTGGAAGACTAATTCCCCTACACCCCTAGATAAAGAACTCTAGGCAGCTAAACAGTGGGGCTGTGTTTTTAAGAACATATGAAACTGGAAGAGAATAGTACGATGGTGTGGGAAAGGAAATGGACATGAGGAAGTAGAGGTAGACTTGACAAAAATCACGTAATAAGCTTGTACAAAATTATCAAACAATAAAATAAAAAATCCTAGTCAATCAGTGTTGGTTCAAAAATATACTTTATATCAATCATAAAATATGAAGTTCTACTAGAGGAAAATGGCACATATTGAAACTCTGCATCATCTAGGTAATATTTCTGCAAACCTGAAGTTACTCTACAGTTCAGTTTTGCATAACAGTACATCAATTTATCAATAGCAAAAACTTTACACTTATTGCTGCAAGTAACTAGTCTAGTTGGTTTTAATTTTGTTCGATGGAGTACTTTGCTGCTGTGTTCATACTGCCTTATTTCAATAGACATTAAATTATTTGGAAGCACCAAGAAGTTTCCAGAGCTCCTGAGCATTTGGATGAGTTAGTATTCATACCTAAAGTTAGCTTCTGGAAGAAGCTCCCTGTGTGTATGTGTGCTGGAGTGTCTTTTCTTCCCCCAGATTCAGAGCTATATAGATTTAACTCCATCCAAGTAACTCCATATTAAGACACATCAAAATAGAGCAGAACACTTTGACCTGATTCTGTCAACCCAGTCTCAACTGCATCTTAGCTCCTGATTTCCTGACAGAAAAGCATGCGGTTCCCAGGCAGTTCCAAGGTCCCACTAATCCCTTTCCAGTTCCACAAGAGCACTGCTTCTACTTTATCACATACTCAAGTTTACTGCTTCCAAAGTCCCAGTCTTTGGTATTAGCCAGGTAAGTAACTGTTCAGTCCTGATGTCCTTGCAGACTATACCACGCCAATAATGGAAAACCTAGATGCTTCTGTATTTTGTGTTTCATATCCTGTGTTGGTGTTACAGAATGTAAATGGAAAATCATCCTAAATGCAAAGAATCTGTCTCCAAAACAGGGATTTCAAATGCTATTCTGAGCGTCACTGAATTTAAATCTGAAACTGTGAGGCATGCTTTCACTTCCTGCGTTGATTTTCAGAAAAGTTAACTGTTTTCAAAGAGTACTTTCTGAAAGTTACCTGAAAGATTTTGGTTCTGCTAACTTTTTCTTCCTGCCTTTATATTCCTCCAGTATTCTCCAAAGAAAGATTCCTATTTTGTCCTGAAATTATTTTACTAAAGTAAGAGTCAATTAAGTGAAGGTGTTCTCAAATTCATCACTGCTGATATTTGGGGGATGGAATAAAAGATTTCACTGTGTTGTGGGGATTCCAGCAGTATTCCTTGTGTCTTCCCAAGAGATGCCATAATCAGTACTTCTCTGGTTGTGATGACCAAACGATGTCTCCACAAGTTTCAAAAAGTCCTGCAGGGAGCAACATCAACACAATTGAAAACTACTGATCTGGTGAATTCAATTTTGTTGAAAGTCCTGAAGTACTCTGATTGGGCTTATATTCAATAATCAAGATGTAGAAAAATATATAAACCATTTCCTCTGTTGGGTGTACACTCTCTATGTCTTCATGCACTGTGGAACTTAACAAAATTGCTGGGGAAGAAGGCTTGAGGGTAGCCATAGAGTTAGCAGGTCTATGGAGTTCCTATAGTTGCTTCCTTTGCATGAAGTGTGGCAATTTTCATTAGAAGGATGAGTATTAATACAAGGTATCTAGGTTCAAATCAGGCCTTCCCTTTTGACAATAAAGAGTCAACACCAGTAATTCTGTGGCCTGTCACCAAATTCTATGCTTTAGCTCACCTTTGGTACCCTATGTTAATAACTTACTTATTTTATGGTTTTTTTTGTTTTATATAGTTTTTAAGAGAGGGTTTTCTTCTGTAGTCCAGGCTATCTTTACATTCTCAGTAGTCTTCCTGCTCAGCCTCCCAAGTATAGGTATTATAAGGATGTGCTGACACGTTCAGGTGACTCTTAATACTTTATAGGATGAATAAACAACCTACAATCCTTAAGAATACTCCCTCATCTGTTATTTTATATATGATCTACTGCTGCTGATCCAACATGGATTTCTATATTTGGGACAAGACCCAAATATAGCTCACATGGCCCAAAATATTTCCTTCTGTCTTTTCTTTTACAGAAACATGCAGACAGTTCGTTTTTTAAATCTGACATCTGCAAATATTTAAACTCCCCAATTTAAACCCTTAGTCCCACATATTGCACCAGCTTAGATATGATGACACCAGCCACACTGGTAATAGTGTTTGATTCTTTAAAATCCATGCCAGGCACAGGGTTTATGTAGACACCCATCTCTATTCCCATGAAAGACACCCTAATTATTTGAATACAAGAAGCTTGACGTCTCACATCAAAAGACTATGCTTATACCTATGTTTATTGTATCTGCCTATAGGCACAGCAATTCTGAACACCTGTTACCCTTTGCTGTAAGTTTCTTTCCTTGGGGTCTGGACATGTTGCAGAGCACAGTGTCCATAAGGAGTCAGCTTGCTCTTTCTGGGTAATGTGTTTACCTTTAGGGAAGGTCCATTGATGGAGAGAAGCAGATGATCTTTGTGATGAATAAGAGAGCTTAAAGCATTTTTGGCAGAATCAGTGCTTGATCCTTCTCCTTCCTCCATTCTTTCTGTTATTGTTGGTTGAAAGGAAAAAAGGACTCAGAAAAAGTTCTCGTAGCAGACTTATAAATTTTTAATTTTGTTTGTTTGTTCTCTCTAGTCATCATTAATCTGTAAGTGCTTTCCTATTACACCTAGTCACTGTTATTATATTTCTCCTAAGGCTGTTTGAGACAATATGTTTTTAAGAGTTCCAACTAAATGAATAACATTTGAAAAACAAAGCATATATATGATATTTGAGACTCAGAATGCTAAAGTATGCATCCAGACAGACTGCTTCGCATATTATGCCATCAACTGTTTCTTTTTATTATATTAGAAACACATAATGTAGAGATGAGGTGACAAGCTTTAATTCTCATTTGTGATAATTTTTGGAAATGACTATATTGTAAATATTGACAATAGATGCAGTATTAAATGTATCTATGGAGCTTGAGAAATGGTTCAGGGGTTTAAAGTCTTTGCTGCTTCTTCAGAGGGCCTGGGTTTGATTCTGAGAACCCACACAGTGGTTCACAGTCATCCCTCATTCCAGTTCAGAATGATACAATGCCCTTGTCTTACCTTTGCAGGAACCAGGCATGTGTGTGGTGCAAAACACATGTGTAGGTAAAACATTCAAATAATTAGGGTATCTTTTATGCTGTAACTATTTCTGTGTTTTCCCATGAATGAACATACTGCTGAGGGTAAAATTCCATAACTAGTGCCCAGTGAATAAATTCATAGCAGAGTAGTTGCTCTCATCAAATCCCACTTCATGCTTGTGCCACCTTTGTGTGCCTGTAACAAATAACTGTAGTCATAGTGCACTAGAGCATGACCAGAGGAAAGGTACGGGTCTGTGCAGTGTACACCCCACTTGTATGATTTCATTCACATTTTAAAAGATCCTTTCAAATAAACTTAAATATGCTTTGAATTCATTAGATCCAACTGAATTTATATGAAATTTATAAACTTGGGCTATTAATCAAGCAATATTCAAATACAATTGATATCTAAATGAGCTCTAAGTTGGAAGTACAAGAGTATGTTGCTTAGGTAGTATTATAGAACAAATATTATGGTAATATTTACTACTTGTAAACATGAACATCTAAATTACAGTATACAGCCTGTGTTAATTTTCAGAGATAGCTTTGAGTAAGGAGGTGAGAGCAAAATAGGTTTGAGGGAGGAGATGAATAAATGCAGATGATATCCAAGAAGACTAGAATATCCAGAGTTGAATTTTGAAAGGCCATCTTGGAGCAATGGTGAAAGGGAAGGGTGGGGAGGGGAATGAAAGCTTACTCATATGCCCTGTTCTGGGAACCAGTGGGCAGTATCCTGCACTAAAGCCATAGTCTGCTGTCTACTTACCCAACTGCCTACCTCTTCCTTTTCAACACTAGGCTCTGTTTCTTCTGACAATTAGATTATTCTGATTTATCTCCCCATGTTCCTTTCTGGAATTTTTCCTAGTTAGTCCTTTTTGATCCACGCTATTTCCCAAGTATTATTTATGAAAAATTTCCAATTATAAAGAAACCTCAATTCTTCTTTGTCTAACATTATTTGACTCTTTTGTAAGCCTTCAGTTACCGTCTTTGGAAAACTTTCCATTTTCTCTTTTGTATCAAGTTAAAGTTTTGCATATTTATAATTTATCTCAGTGGTGGTTAATCTTCACCTTTGATGAAGAGCTACAGGCAGTCAATGATAACTGAGAAAGCAAGAATCAGTTTTCTCTATGGAGGAGCGCCCTGATAGCCTGAACAATAAATCCTTAGTGGTCAGGCATAATTATATTTTAAAAATAAACTGTTAACCTGTCTCTCGGCCTTCCCAGGATGCCATCACAAAGTGCCATTAACTGGGTGTCTTATAAACAGGCATTCATTTCATACACAATCATGACAGAAGGGGATTTGACATCTAATGAAAGCCTGTGTACCAGGTTCATAAACGGTACATATGAACTGCTGGTCTTGACATGGTGAACAGCTTAAGAGGTGTCTTGGGCCTCCTTTATGGCACTAATCCAATTCATGAATGTCCAGTCAGCCACTATCACCTGGCAATGACTTTGCTTTCTGGATGAGAATATCCTCATGTAAATTTTGTTGAGACATAAATATCCAGACTTAAGATGACAGTAGGTTTTTGGCATTCTCTAGAGATTCAGAGGCCGTTGTACAGCAACTGATGTGTTTTATACTCACACATGCACAAACACACACACACACACACACACATACACAGAGAAACAGAGAGAGAGAGAGAGAGAGACAGAGAGACAGAAAGAGAGAGAGAGAGAGAGAGAGAGAGAGAGAGAGAGAGAGAGAGAGAGAGAGAGAGAGATTAAGATTCCTATACCTAGATGTGAGGGTTAATTTTGGAGAGATGCCAGCTAAACTGGATGGTGTTTTCAGAGAAGACTGGCCGGTGGTGGGTCAGTAAACTCTGGGAGGTAGATTCACTGCCCCCACCCCACCCCCGTGGGTGGGATGGTGCAGTAGGTTGAGAGCACGAATGAAGCACAAAGTGGAAGGAGGTGGCACTGTAGACACCTTGGAATCTCTTTCAGCAGTGTCATGTTGTGTTACCTCTAGTGCCTGTGAATACAGATCTAGGCCCTCTGTCCTCTGACCATGGACTAGTAGTAATGGACTCACTAAAAGTCTTTCAACCTCTTGACTTGGATTGAAAATGCACCCTAAGAAGCTGTTGAGACTTTGAGTGTTTTTGACTGAGGGTGGCTGTTTCCACAGTTCTCCATCCTGTAGACAGCAGTCATTGAACCATTCAGCCTCTTACCTTGCAAGTGAGTCTAATACAGGCCCTCATAATTCCACCCATGCCATTCTTCTTTTCGCTTCTCCCCTCTCTTTTCCGTCCCTCCCCATCCCACCCTTCTTCTCTGTCTGCTTTTCTCTTCATCTTTTTTCATTGGTTTGGAGAACTATCAATTGTAGCCAAATCTTAAAACCCATTAGTGCAATAACTGAACACTGGAAAGCACCATGGGCCTCTGAAGCATTCTTGTCAGGGGTGGTAGTGGGTGCAATAAGCAAATAAATAAATACATAAATGGAGGAGAGGAAGAAGGAAGGGTAGAAGTTGGAAGATGAGGAGTAATGGGCATAAGTCTCTGATTCCATGATTAAAAAGAAATGTCTTTGTCTTTAGAAACCTGAACAAAAGACATCTGTTTTTTTAAAGTATGCATTAGAAAATAGTCAGTGCAGTACAGAGTAAGGAAACAAATGAAATTTACTTCAAGATGGTCCTAGATTTCTAGGTAGAGTGAAATTCCAAAGCCTGGAACAGGCAAGGCAGGGCAAGAGTTTCCATCAGTTATGACTGCCTCTATAAGATGAATACAGAAATTGGAATTCAGGAACTCTAAGAAGATTTAAATTAGAGCTTCAAGAGGGGAGATTTATGCAGAAAAATAACCACTACACATAGACTGTATATAACACATGGTTGTCATTCATTCATTCATTCATTCTCTCTCTTTCTTTTAGACAAGATATATAAATGTAATAAAATTCTTTGAAAAATAAAAAGAGAAGTATCAATTTAAATTCTACCTAAATTGAATGTCAAGAGAAGTGCATGTCAGTTTTACACTAATGAATTGAAACTTACCCAACTTTCTAAAAAAGTAGAATACTTGAATAAACCTACATCACTTTAAAAATTGGAAATATATTTTAAACATGACTACAGAAAAGAAAAATGCAGATTATGTGGCTCTTTCCATGAATCTTATCACACACTTAAGGAAAATATCACCAGTCTGATTGCAAACTATTTGTAGAAATTGAAGGAAAAAGAACATTTCTTTGTTCATTTCATGAAGTTAGCACTTCCATTAATGAAAATGATACAAGAAAAACACAGAAATGTTTGGTTTTTGCATAAGATCATGTTCAGAATCAGTAACAAATATTAGCAAGTTAATCCTGTAAATCTTTTAAAAGGGAATGTAGTAGCCACAAGGGGTTTTCCCAATAATCCACAATTTAACTTTTGAATACCAGTCATTGTACTTACCACATTAAAAAAATAAAAGGAGAAGAAGGTATCATATCCTTTCAGAGATAGGATTTGAGAAAAATTCAACATGCATTTATAGTACAGTGCTTCAGTTATCTAGGGACAGAAAGGACCAGTCTCTAGTATCACAGCTGGTTTTAAGACCAACATTAGGCACAAAATAAATATCCTTATACCTATCACTCCTTGTTAATGCTAGTGAAGGAAAATAAAAGACTATAAAACACAGATGTGACATCAAGAAGCAATTAATCATGAAGTCATATGATTACATATATAGAAGGTCCTACTGAATCCACATAAAAGCTACTGAAATTTATAACCAACCATAACACAAGTGCACAAGATCAATACAAAACTGAATTATATTTCTATGTACTATCAGTAAGCAATAGGAAAAACTTTTTAAGTAATTACAGTTACAATAAAACTGTGAAAGACCCATAGTTCAAGAAACTACAATATATGCATAGTGAAGATTATACAACATTCTGAGAAATAAAGGAGAGTCTGAAAAATGGAGCTAGTGTGTTCTTAGTCTAAGAACTAACATATATGTATATACTGTCCAAGAATATGGTGGGCTTTAGCAATTACTAATGCTCTGGAAATTCCTCAATAGATCCCATACAAGCCCATTCAAAATTGCTGTAAGAAACATTTCTCAAGGAAGGTTAACAATCTCATCTTTATAATATTTAGAAAATATATATGGCCTAGAAGAAGCTATACAACTGAATAAGAGAGTCATATGGAATTCTTAAATTTAATTCTAGTTTTCCATAAATATGGAGTAATTAAGGCAATGATATTTACATAAAGGGCTACATAAAAGTCAAGGAAACACACTAGTTAAAAATAAGCCATGCATTTATAGTTATTTTGTTTTATATATAAAAGTTTAAAGAAAACAAAATTGATGGAAAATATAAGATGCTGTGACAAATGACTGAAATTTTAAGGTACATATTAATAAAGAACTGAAATGTTGAACATTACTTTAATGTATAGAAAAATTAAATTATAGTAGATCAAAGATATAAACTTAACACTTGATTACAGATTCTTTTATTGATTTTTTAGTTCAACAATATAATATTCTCAGTTACAGCTTACAAAACACTAATTACAGTAAGAAAATAGATAAATGGATATTAATGAACATAAAAACTACTCTGTGATAGACAATGTAAAACCATGAAAATATAAGCCACAAACTGAACAACAATATATAATACATATGAATGATGATTTTCAAAATATAGAATTCTATAACTCCATCATTAAAAGCAAAACAATCCCAATGAACAACCTTGTTAAACAGATATTTCATAAAGGTAAATATGTGAGTTGTGTTCATTGCTTAAGAAAATTAGTCCCTGAAGTGCACAATTAATATGCATATCAATATTATCCTATACATATCCATATGCCTACAGTTAAAATGATTGATGATGTCCTTAAGGAGATAAGAGCAACAGTTTATGATATTTTGGAAATGTGAAACCATAAAACCACTTGGTAAAGCACTTTAGGAAACTTCATATAAGATTGAACAGATATTTTCTGTATGACACTGCATTTCCATTAGAGAGAAATAAAATATATGTCCACTTGCAATTTCTCCTTGAAAGTTCATTGTAGCAGCTTTTGTGGGTATTTTTATAAATTGTCCAATTCCTAGTGTTAAACAATGTCTTAATTATGTCTTATTGCTGTGAAGAAACACCATAACTATGGCAACTTATATAAAAAAACATTGAACTAGGGTTGGCTTACAGTTCAGAGGTTCAGTCAGTTATCATCATGTTAGGAAGCATTGTGGCATTCAGGAAGACATGATGGAGAGGTAGGCAAGAGCTCTATATCTGTATTCACAAGCATCAAGAAGAGAATGAGCCACTAAGCATGGTTGAGCTTCTGAGACCTCCTAGTGCACACCCAATGACACACTACCTCCAATGAGGCCACACCTACTCCAACAAGGCCACAATTTCTAATAGTGCTACTCCACATGAGCCTATGGGGCCATTTTTATTCCAACCACCACAAGCAGGTTAATGGAAATCCTACAGTGAAGAATGAAATATAATAATTTAGTATCTAAAACTCAGACTTTGAGATCCAAGCTTCTTGACAGTCACAGATTTGTGTTAACCTCCTCTGAGTCATTTCTAGGAAATTAAAGTGTCTGATTGGAGATATTAGATCTGTAATTGTTACTAGAGACTGGTTTATCTTCTCATCAGATATTTGCCCTTCTTTGTTGATTCTTATGAAGAGACTCACATACCACTAACTGAAGCTGGGCTTTGGGGACAGTCAACGGCCATCAGTGGAACCACCTATAAGCAATTGAGTGCTGCCAACAACCAATCTAACCAGGCTAAATGTGGACTCTTTAAATTCAGTGGTTTGGGAGAAGCCTCCCATCAAGGATCATACAGAAACTACACCCAGATTCCTGACCACCCTCCTATTATGTTCATTTTTTAAGACATTATGGTGCTGATAATGTTAGGACGTGATAGATAATACTCATCAATTATAAAGAATGATACAATGATGAATACCCTTTGCCACTTTTACAACGTAAAAAGTCACCACAAGTTTCACAACTTCAAATGGAAACAGGTTCATTTATTGAGAGTTCAATGAGTTAGCAGACCAAGCGTGATGTCACAGCACACTGCACAGGTGTTACTATGTTGCCTCCTGGTTGAGGCCTGGATTATACATTCACCTGGCTCAGAGGCAATGTCTAAGTTCACATACTCATTGAGGGAATTTTCTTGTGGGTTGTTCCTTGGACCTTCTCTCAGCTCTGAAAGCACAGGTAGGGTGTCTTGCCACATGCTCTTCTCTATATCATGGACTTTTTCTCTTTAAAAGCTAACAAGAGCATTTCTCCCGGGCTTAGAATAGCGCTAATTCTTTCTAAATATTCACTTCCTCACCAAGGAAAATCGCCCGATCTTAAGTTATTAAGGACTTTAAACCGATTCTGCAAAGTATCCCTTTATGGTAGTATGGTAATGTGTAAGTAGATGTTTGATTGAGCATTAAATACAACAGTAAGCAAGAGGTCTGGTAATAAAAAGCAAGTCAGAGGTCTGTTCAAGGGGTTAGACATTCCCTGGAAAGAGACAAAATAACTCATTTACTTACCTTGGTATTGTTGATAGAAATACAGATCT